GGAGAAACGGTACAGATGAAGAATGAAAATACTATGTGATCCTCCACCCAAACGTTCAACACATTACCATATCATCACATCCGTATACTACTCTATACTTAGAGTGATAAGGATGCAAACTGGTAAACTGCATAAGGTAAATGGGGGCTCAATTGCTCATTTCTTAGTGAGGGTATGAAGCATTAGAGATATAGTATTAACATATGGCAATACCCACTGGTATTTCACAGCAGTTCCACAAGCAAATTAGCATGGAGACACAAATATAATTTTTGTAATTTACAGTTGGTGGAATAAAAACATGAATAAAATAGTGAAGCATCCAGATTCCTAAAGTATCTAATACAGGGAGTGCAGAATTATTAGGCAAATGAGTATTTTGACCACATCATCCTCTTTATGCATGTTGTCTTACTCCAAGCTGTATAGGCTCGAAAGCCTACTACCAATTAAGCATATTAGGTGATGTGCATCTCTGTAATGAGAAGGGGTGTGGTCTAATGACATCAACACCCTATATCAGGTGTGCATAATTATTAGGCAACTTCCTTTCCTTTGGCAAAATGGGTCAAAAGAAGGACTTGACAGGCTCAGAAAAGTCAAAAATAGTGAGATATCTTGCAGAGGGATGCAGCACTCTTAAAATTGCAAAGCTTCTGAAGCGTGATCATCGAACAATCAAGCGTTTCATTCAAAATAGTCAACAGGGTCGCAAGAAGCGTGTGGAAAAACCAAGGCGCAAAATAACTGCCCATGAACTGAGAAAAGTCAAGCGTGCAGCTGCCACGATGCCACTTGCCACCAGTTTGGCCATATTTCAGAGCTGCAACATCACTGGAGTGCCCAAAAGCACAAGGTGTGCAATACTCAGAGACATGGCCAAGGTAAGAAAGGCTGAAAGACGACCACCACTGAACAAGACACACAAGCTGAAACGTCAAGACTGGGCCAAGAAATATCTCAAGACTGATTTTTCTAAGGTTTTATGGACTGATGAAATGAGAGTGAGTCTTGATGGGCCAGATGGATGGGCCCGTGGCTGGATTGGTAAAGGGCAGAGAGCTCCAGTCCGACTCAGACGCCAGCAAGGTGGAGGTGGAGTACTGGTTTGGGCTGGTATCATCAAAGATGAGCTTGTGGGGCCTTTTCGGGTTGAGGATGGAGTCAAGCTCAACTCCCAGTCCTACTGCCAGTTCCTGGAAGACACCTTCTTCAAGCAGTGGTACAGGAAGAAGTCTGCATCCTTCAAGAAAAACATGATTTTCATGCAGGACAATGCTCCATCACACGCGTCCAAGTACTCCACAGCGTGGCTGGCAAGAAAGGGTATAAAAGAAGAAAATCTAATGACATGGCCTCCTTGTTCACCTGATCTGAACCCCATTGAGAACCTGTGGTCCATCATCAAATGTGAGATTTACAAGGAGGGAAAACAGTACACCTCTCTGAACAGTGTCTGGGAGGCTGTGGTTGCTGCTGCACGCAATGTTGATGGTGAACAGATCAAAACACTGACAGAATCCATGGATGGCAGGCTTTTGAGTGTCCTTGCAAAGAAAGGTGGCTATATTGGTCACTGATTTGTTTTTGTTTTGTTTTTGAATGTCAGAAATGTATATTTGTGAATGTTGAGATGTTATATTGGTTTCACTGGTAATAATAAATAATTGAAATGGGTATATATTTGTTTTTTGTTAAGTTGCCTAATAATTATGCACAGTAATAGTCACCTGCACACACAGATATCCCCCTAACATAGCTAAAACTAAAAACAAACTAAAAACTACTTCCAAAAATATTCAGCTTTGATATTAATGAGTTTTTTGGGTTCATTGAGAACATGGTTGTTGTTCAATAATAAAATTAATCCTCAAAAATACAACTTGCCTAATAATTCTGCACTCCCTGTAGTTTGAAAGGAAGGAGGAGGTGAAAATACCCGACTATCTTCTCCCAAACTCTGTTAGTCATCCTTTGAAACACCATGCTACCTCTTCCAAAAGATTCTCCTTCCTCCTTCTCAACCTTATCCTCCTGTATTTGTAAGACTTCTGCTCACATTGACACCCATTGAGATGCAATACAAAGCAGGAGAGAGACCCCAATATATATATAGATGGCAGAATACAAATAGTGAGGAACAGATTAACCCCTTAAGGACACATGACATGTCTGACATGTCATGATTCCCTTTTATTCCAGAAGTTTGGTCCCCCACACAAGTTCATATAACAATGTGGCCTATGTCCTGGTTACACCCTCTGTAATTACTACTCTTATCCAACTGTGGAAATCTTCTATTTTAAGCTTTGATATGCCACATCGCTGAAATAGATCTTATTACTCTCTGCCCAGTAAAGGGCCACATCTGGAGTACAGATAATTAACCACAATCTATACATTGTTCCAATAGATGAAATATAGGACAATAGTAATGGTTTTTAATTTGATGTCTTTTTCCCCTCATTTTTTATTTTCCAATTGAACTTAATTGCATCTTATAATAATAGTAGCTAATTTGCATATTGCTCCAAATGATGATACCTATACTAAAAAACAGCCAGTCATCCTGGCATGCATATCTGGATGGGTGGACACATTATAACCATGTAGTTGGAAAAAAATGCTCAATTAACATCTCCAAAAGCAATAGAAAATATTATTTATCTTTTTTTCTTGGTTTATCATAGTTATTGTTTTAGCAGATGTTATGGGTAAAAGTGAAAGCCATTACAGGTATCACAAACCCATGATTTACATGAAAGAGTGCCCTTATAACTTTGGATGTCCAACAAGTTAGAAGTTATTTAATTATTATATTCCTAGCGCTCACTGCCTTACTATATTTGCATATATGAGATATAATGTAATACATGCATTTTATTCTATAAGTGTGATCCAAGTTCATATAATATATACCGAACCATTTCACAGATAAAAAGATATCCTTCCAATAAAAGGTTCTCATTGACATACAACTCCCAAAACCCTCAGCCATCCATTCTATGGCATCTTTTGTTAGAAATGTTTCCCGCCTAGTAACAGCTGGAACTGACTAAGCTTCCATTAAATTTGTCATCTGCATCAAATTCCTCAACAAAGACCCTCAATGTCACCTACACCGAGAGAACTTGAATGCCAGGAAGTTTAAGCCTATTAGAGTCGGACTAAGAATTGCATTCAGTGGAGAGAGAGTAAAAGGCTCTATTAAGACCTGAGAGTTGACAATTAGATTATAGTTCAGTTGCTAGTGGATAATGTGCTAAAAGCTTTCTCACTCAGTGTAACTCCTTACTGAAAATTATTCACACTTTGCAGGTTAGTGTACACACATATAGCCAGCAGAGGATTGAGTCAATGGGGAAAAGCAATGCATGGGCACAGTTTTATTTCACATACACAAATACAACATGTATGACAAGCAGCACTTTCTAGTGCTGGTCTCCAAACACCTATTACAATCAATAAACAGATATAATATGTAGTTTATCATTTTATTTCCATTGGAAGTTACAGTGGTTTATTAAAAACACAGTTTTAAAAATACAGGCCTACATTGCTCCTTGATGCATGTATGTTTTATGTAGGAGAAATTACTGCTCCCCATAATCAAACTTGAATTGAATATCGATTTTAATGCAGTTTTTAACACTGACAGATGTAGGGCGATCAAGTGCCTCATTAAGCTCTTTTACTGCTGGAAATTCTTTCGATTTAAAATTTGCAGAAGGCCAGGGGAATTTTGAACATTATATTGCTTTTTACTGTTCGCCAAAAATGACCGTCCATTCTCTTCTTTCAAATAAGAATTCTTATGACATTTCAATTAAAACAATGAATACCACTCCCTTCTTAGTATTTGTATCCTCTTCCAATAAGTTAAAAATCTTAATAAAAAGTTTAAGTAAAAAAAGAAGTCTTGAGGTCCAGTTGCAGGCTCCCTTGCGTCAATGGTAGAGAGGTTTGGAGAAGCTACTTTGGATTGCTGGCTAAATGAAAAGTGGGATAAGCCTTACTCACCCACTTGGCCACCAATGAGAAAGAAAATTAAAGACTATTGAAAAGGGGATTTTTTTTACTGTGATACTGATTTTATACAGTCCCTGGAAAAAAGTTATCCAACACAATGAAATACTTTGGACCCTTTTTCTTTTTAATTTTTAATTTAATTAGCAATTTTTTTTATTAATTCGCTATCGTGTTTGCTGAAAGAAGTAATACATTTATATGCAACAGTAAGCCAGACAGCTAAGAGAGGTCCTTGGCTCAGGGAATTTATCAGTTTTAAGGGCCCCAGAATATAGAAGGAGGCTCCCTGTAGCTTCATATTCCCTTTTGAAATGGAAACGCAATTTGATTGTAGAAGCCATTATTTATTAACTCAATTTACATTTCTTTCTTTTTAAAATTTATTTATTTTTGTTTGTTTTAGACACAAGCTATATCCTCTATTGGTTGTTTGATACAGAGCTGTAACCTTGACTCATATTTTGGGGTAATTCTAATTTGTATCTTAGGACCAATAAATGTAGAAGATCTAGCAATTTCAAGGCAGAAGTGACAATACCTGTCCAGCAAAAATCTCTTCCACTTGGCACATGAGCAGGTCCTTATCCATGTCCTGAGAAATAAACCACAACTCACCTGGGTGTACTCAAAGCTTTTATTCTGGCTGGACACCACTCTTAGTAAATGTAGAAGGTCATGACCTTCTAAACTGTTGAGATCAGGTTCACAAGTAAAGAAATCATTCAGACAAGCCATAGATAAAGTTGGGGAGCTCAGTTTCTGCACTCTGATTTCATCTTTTCAACTAGTCACTGGTGATGATGCAAAATAATACAAAGAAGAACTCCATAGTCCCAGATTAAAATCCCCTATCAAGGGCCAGCTCATAGCAAACATGAGTGTACCATGTTTTGACAAATATCATGACCAAGTGTTAGACACACACACACACACCCAGACACACACACACACACACACACAGAGTAAATTGTTCCTGGGCACTGGTGAGGTGGTCTGACCAGGATTCAAACCTTCATAGGTTTGGAGGTTCATAGGTTTGAATCCTAGTCAGACCACCTCACCAGTGCCCAGGAACAATTTACTGCCACTTATGGTCCAAAATGTGATGACAGCATGGAATGGTATTGGCTCTTAAACCAAAAGTTTGACTTAGTTGTACATTTTAACTGCTATTTTAAAAGTGGCAATTTCATTCATTTACAGACATTTTATGCATGCATGAGATTTATTAAGATGGCAACAGGTAGTTGAAATAAATATGCAATACACAGCTGAATGCTGGATGCTTGTGTGGAAACCTTGTATGTGTCTTAATTGACAATAAGGAACAGGAAGTTACTGGGAATAAACATTTTTTTCCAAAAATAATGTCAATCTTTGACAATATTATGTCAGTAGACTTAAGTTATTATTTATATTTTTCTTTGTGTTGATTCAAATTACAGTTGACAAGTTGAGTGCACTTTTTCAGTCCCAATAAATAAGTAGTTTTTTGGAATTTACTTCATAGCAAGATTGTATTTCCATGTATTTTAAAAGAAGTAAAAGGTATAATGTACCAGATGAATAGTAATGACTTGTTTGTAAATTAAAGGGTTACTATAGTGATAGGAATCCAAACATGTATTTCTAACACTATAATTTTGGACTACCTATTAGAGTCCCCAGCTACAATCAGAGTGTAGAAATAAGTATACTTACCTTTTCTCCATCACTGCACTGCTCTCGCCGTGGCTGGCCCTACCTCCATGGCTGAGATCATCAATCTTTGCAGTTAATCCAGTGATTTCCATAAGCAAGCATTGGGAGGCTATTGCGCATGCGCAACATCTCAGTGCATCTCTATGAGGTGTGTTCAGCATCTCCATGCGGTAGGATTCACTTCTAGTCGCTGTATGAGTGACTGCCACTAGGGGTGTTACTAAGCAGTAATCTAAACTCTGCCTTTTCTCAGAAAAGGCAGTGTTTACATTGAAAAGCCTGCAGGGACATACTATACTCACCAGGACAACTACATTAAGCTGTAGTGGTTCTGGTGACTAATGTGTTTCTTTAACAAACTCAATTTGTTTGTTATCATAGACATAGTCTACTCATTTACTTTCACTTGCTAGAAATACTATTACATCTAACAGAATTATCAGGATGGAAATCAGAACAGGAGCTCAAAAGTAGCAAGAAAGGAAGGAGAAGCTGATGCACTATAAAAGTAACAACCAGATGACTTTTGACAGACTTGCACTGCATTTTAAGGCTGCTCTTTTCTTGCAATTAATAACGTCCATGAAATCCCTTCTGTCATTACTTGGAGCCTGGAGCACTTAAAATGTTTGATAGTGTTTCAGGAATTCTGCACAGGCACCTTCATTCTGATGGTTTACGCTACTGTGAGATGTCAGCTTCTGATCCCCACTGGAGAAATAAAGGGCTAGTAATTCCTACGAGACAACTACTTTGCATCAATTTTTATTCATAATTTCCTTCTTACTTAAATGATTAAATGATCCACATAGTTACCATATCTTTCTACCATTGGTTTCCTGATCTATGGAGACATTGCACCATGCAACAAGGGATAACAAGAAGGCCTATCTATGGTCAGAGAGGTAAAAAAAAATAAAAAAATAAGCTTATAAATGTACAAGTCCAGCAAGATAATTGGGTAATGAATGTCTCTCTTTGAAATGAGGAGTACTTTGGCTTACTGAAGGGAGCCTGCAACAGGACCTCTAGACTTTTTTTTACTTAAACTTTGTGTTTAACTATACTTAACTATTTGTTTTATTTGGTGTTATTTTTATTGGATGTATTTTATATTGTTTTGTATATGAATTCTGATTCTGCAGAAAGAAAAGAAAAAAAACAAAACATCACACACCTTCAGGAAGGGGAGGAGGTGTCAGACATAAAAATGTACAAAATTGGGCAAATAACAGACAGAATAGAATAAGGTGTGGATACAGGCCTTGAAAGAAAGTCAACTGTTTCTCAGTTCTACGCACATTTTCTTATGTAACATATTCTTCCTCACCTTGCAGTCTCTGCACCCAATGGCCGTGCGTCTGCATGACTGACACTTGCGGCATATTAATGGCCGCTGGCCACTGTGGATTCACGGCAAAATATACCCCCGCTCATGTGATTGACGACGTCGGCGTGCACTTGACGTCACGCATGCGCTGCGCGTACACGTTTTGGGGTCAAAGTGCAATTTCAGCCAATCAGAATAATAAAGCAGGTATTTAAACCTAAAAATACCTTCCCTAATTGCCCTGTCGTGGTTTTCCTAGTGGTTGTCCGAGAGCGCTTTCCTTATTCTGGTTATTCTTGTTATTTGACTTTGGCATTGATTGTGACTTCCCTGTTTCCTGGTATTCCTGACCTCTGGCTTTCCTTTATCATTGTGTCCCTTTCTGTGTCCCCTGGCCTCGGCTATTCCTAACTATTCTTTGGTACATGAGTCCGGCCGTTCTAAGGCCCGGTATACGTTACCTATTAGTCTCCTGTGTTACAAAAAACCTAATTATGTATGGTTAAAACCAAAACTTGAAGTATATAAATTTCATAAAAGCTTTAAAAAGAAATAAAAAATTGTTTAATAGAGAGTTAGTAATATGGGTTGTTGGAAGTTTGGGTTAGCTGAGAATGGATGTATTGTTGACATCATCATAAAAATGTAGTGATGGGGGGAGATGTTAATAGCTTTGTAGGTAAGTGGTAATGTTTTCAATTTGACTCTAAAGTCAAAGGAGCAAAGTTTGAAAGTAGTGACACGTAAGAAAGATAAGTTTGGGAGCAGCATTCCTTAAAGACTAAAGTGTGTGTGGGGGAGGGGGTATGGGAAGACCAATTAGGGCAGAATCACATGTGTTGATGAGAGAAATGATAGGCACATGAACTAGTGCTTCAATGTATAAACGTGAGGAATGTGACATACTGCAAATGGGGTGTAAAAGTGAGGCCATAATCATTGACATGCTTGTTGAGCTCTTTGAGGAAGGCATCCCCGAAGAGCTTGCCCTGTGCCTGTGGGCCCAATTCTTTTACCCCTAAATCTGCTAATTTGGGGTCTATGCAGAACAGTGCTGCGCGGCGCCGCTCTGTGGAGAGGGACGCATTGGTATTCCTGAGAAAACAGAAGCTTCTCTGGGTCCATTCGCGGATGTCATGCCATTCTCTTATCATGTCCACATTAAAAGAGTCCGCCCTGGCATAGGCGTTGTCCGCCAAATACATTACACGGGCCAAGGGCCCCATCGTGTCCAGGAGCTTTTCTTGCGCCCCTTTCCGACTCCTCTCTATCCCTCTGTGGGGGTCTCGACCTCCCTGCTCCATGAATGTCAGCATAAGCTGATCGAACTCGGGTGTGAAGACTACTTTATCGGGTAGCGATGGTCTTGGGCACTCCGCTCTCATCCCCTTGCATACGTGCTTCTCCAGGGGTTTGCGGATCCAGAAATGCATAAACCTGAGGAGATGCTCAGGTGGGGCCCATTCCCCTGATCGGGGGTGCCGAATATTTCTGGGATCGAACATCCTGTGCCCTGTGGTGTCTAGAAACACCTCTTGATCCTGTGAGAGTTTGGTTGAGGCGGAAGTTTCCTCGTCTCCTTTACCCTGGGGCTCACCCAGGAAGGTCTCCGTAACGTAGGCATTGGAGCCCCAATCGCCTTCGTCCGATTCGGAGATGTCCGCCTGCCATTCATCAAGAATGGAGAGGGAGTGTGGCATATCTTGTTCCTCATCCGAGGAGATGTTCTTAGCGGGTTTTGCCAAAGGACCCTTACTGCGCTTCAGGGGCGCTTTGCCTTTGTTGGTGGCTTTTTTAGACACCTTGCCCTTCCAGTGGCATTTAGGCGGGCGGTGTTTCTCCTGAGAGGAGTCATCCAACGCCTCAGACTCTTCCTGGTCACGAGGCTGTCTACTAACTGGCTTGCTAGGTGCAGTGGCCGGTGTTAGAACTTTCGCGATTGCCTTCTCCAATGAGGCGGCTACTGCCGCATTAATCATGGCCTGTAGCTCGCTTGTGTTCTGATTATCCTCCATAGTGAGGGCACTTACAGGCACAGGGTTGTGGGTAGATACGTGGGAACTGGATGGCGTGGGAGGGGAATATGACCGGCCGTTGGCCGCATATTAACCGCTAGAGGCAAGCGACAAGTGGACTCTGTACTACTGGGGCTCACCCAGTCGGTCGGAACTGCTTGAACAGATTTCGTTAGGCAGCACTGCAGGATCTTTCCCAAATGGGGGCTCACCCCTAGCCAGGATACTGGGTATAAAACCTAACTGGCTGTCCCACTCCCTAGGGTTATAACACCCACCTTGTATACTCCAACAGTAGGCACTTTTCCCAGTGATCAACTGTCTCTTTAAATGAGCCTGGTGATGAGAGTTGTACTTCCTCACGAGCCTCACGAAATGGCCACCGTAGTTGCACAGGAAGATGAAAAGCCCACGAAGGCAGACAATGAGCAGAGCCTACAGCATTCGGTAGAACTCGGGAATGGCTAAATTCACGGGTTTGCGAGCAGCCGAACGCTGAAATAAGGAAAACCCGCAAACGTACTGAATTGCTTATGTGAATCCAGTCCGTTCGCGTGAATACACTGGCATTCGCTCCGTTCGCGCCTTGCTGGCTGGGCAAGCGCGAACCATTTTTAATGTTCCTTATAATTGTATCACTTTAACTTTTAATTGACAATGATTAATGAAATCAATATACAGTGAATAGGGAAGAAATCCATTCTGCAGTATATGTATTTACTATAGATACTGTTAAGAACAAGTATGAAACTGTATTAGAAGATACTAATATGTACCAATGTGTGTTTTTTCCTTCCTCTTTTCTCTGTTTTATTCATTTTCTCTATTATGTGCTGAGCACAATTTAAAAGGGTGGAATATTTATGGATTTAACTTAGGATAATGGGTGTCGGCGAACCAACCTATTCTGCCACTTTTTAAATTTTTTTATTTATTTATTTTTTGGCTTGAGGGTATGTGCCCACAAGCAAGATGGCTGCGGTGAGAGCGGAAGTGATCCTGATCACCCTGATGAAAGGAAGGTGAG